GGCTGCCCCGGATCCCTGGCAGTGCCCAAGGCCAGGCTGGACTCTGGGACAGTGGCGGTGTCCCTGCCATGGCAGGGGTGGCTCTGGCTGGGATTGAAGGTCCCTCCCTCCCAAACATCTCCCGGGTTCAGGGATTCTGTCCAGGCCTCGCTCTGTGCCCCCTGAGCTGGGAAATTTGGGATTGGGGGTGATTCCAGCGGGGCTGAGCCAGGCTCTGTCCCAGGGACTTTCCAGGGCCAGACTCGGGGGACGTGAGGCCACCAGGAGAGGAACAGAAAGTGGCGACTTTCCGCTGAAAATTCACTTTATTGCTCAAAATAGAAGCCATTAGCTGAGCTGTGCCCCTCCCCCTGCGGTACTTCTGGACAAATTCTGATTTTTACTTAATGGTTTCCCTGAAAAGGTTGTAATTTTCTTCCCATTCCCATCGAGCCGCAGCTCCAGCGCTGCCGTGCTGGACTCCGAGGGCTGAGGATGGCTCTCGTTAATTGATATTCCTCATGCTGGGACTGCGCTGAAAGAGGAGATGTTTTATTTTAGCTTATTAAAACTCACCTGGTGTTGGGGGGGGGGGAAGGAAAAAAAAACCAAGAGAACGATTAGGGGTGAAAGGAAACGTTCTGGTTCACATTGATTGAAGGTCTGCTCAAACTGATATTTGCACATCCCAATTAGAAACCCGTGATCTTTTCCCAGAATTTCTCGTTTTCTTTTTCCCAGCCGGGTTTTCTCGTTCCGGAGGATCTCAGGAGAAGCCTCGGAGGGAGGAGCTGCTGTCCCCCATCCCAGCTGGCCCCGAGCAGGACATGGGGGACACCGTGTCCCTCCTCTCCGGGATGGGGACGCCTCCGGGTGAGGATGAGGAGGAGGATGAGGAAGGCTTTGAGGACATCCAGAGTCACCTTGCAAAGGGCAGCTCCCGTGGGACGCTGTCCCCACGGGGAGCAGGAGGATTTGGGGTTTTTGGGGAGCAGCGGCGCTGCCTCCCGGGGCTGTCACCGCTCCAGGGGTGGCTCTGTCCCGTCCCCGGTGCCCTGCGAGGTGGCACGGCCGGGAAGGGAAGTGGAGATGTCCCCTCCCCTCGTCTGGGGACAAACCTCGGCTCAGCCTCTGCCCACGGGCTGTTGTGACACTTGGGGACACCGTCCTGGCCCCAGCGGCCTTTCGGGGAA